CAAGCGTCTTAAGAGCATTAATATTAATTCCAACATGTTGGCCATTGCCATCACAGCTTATAAGGCTAAAGTCACCTGAACAAAATTTGCTAAACCATCATTGACACTTACGAACATTTTAAACACTTCCATAAACTTTGATATTCTTTGTGGCTACAGAGGCATTGTTTCCCTTCTTATATTCAAACAGCATTACATGCCAAATATGTGTCTCGTGTGCAATCACCATAAGGGATTAAAGTATATTAAACTTTACACATTATATAGGCTACACTAACATGACGTTTAAGTGGTTCGTTTAACTATTATACGTGATGTACGTTTTTTGGGGGGGTGGTTAATGAAAGTGTTACAAAACATGACATTCATTTCTTGATGACCTAATGTAAGTACCAACCTGTTTAGATTTCTTAAAACTATTTTTTTCTTATTATTTCATTTTCTTTTTATCCTAAACAAATTGAAAACATAAGAACAAACTATACTAAGCATATTTTGTACATTTCTAAGACTACACATAATAATTCCAAAATTCAAAAAACAATTAACATGACTAGGTAAAAATTCCACAAACAATAAACTTTTTACCAAGATGTCTTCTTTCTCATGAGGATACTTCAGTTTCAAGTTACCCGCTGCTGCCAAAACTGCCTTTACAGCTCTCATGCCATAGTCATAGTGTGACTGTGAGGACAACTGCTCTGAGCACAATCGATATGTAGTTACTATCTTCACAGCAAGATTACGAGCATCAATAAAGCCAAATGAATAAAGCATTATTTCTCCAATGAGAACATAGTCTGGAACCATCATTGCAACTGTACGAAATAAAACCTGAAAAAACAGATATTGAGAAGATAATTTAGTTTCTCAAATAATATAACAAAAACTGTATAACAAAATAGATTAAGGCTATTAAGAATATAACAAACACCTACATCTTTTACAAATTACCATTTTGTTTTATTTATATAAGTACCATTGTTGATTTATTCCAGTTTATTCTGTGGTCTAATCTCAAATACTATTTTACATATTTACAAATGATCATACAAATATGCAAATACAATTTTTGAAGTTTTCAGTGGGCACTCATCAACAACATCCTTTTTTGTTATTTATGAATGAGAATTTACAATTGTTTACATGTTTTAACTGATTCTTTAGCTTGGAAGCAATAAAAAAATTTGTCTATTTACAAATGGTCAATTACAAATGTTGATGTCTTTCTACTGTAAAGCTTTACTTATTTATACATTTTTACTTCCAACTGTTCGTGTCTTTTAGTTGAGTTTCTAATTTAACCTCAGTTATAATTTTACTTAACTACAAATCATCAGTATCAAATACTTATGTCTTTCAGTTGATTTTATGCTTTTTACAATTAATAAGTTATCAAATACAACTACTGATATTTTCAGTTGATTTTTTGAGCTGACACCAGTATTATATTTTTCCTATTTACAATTTATCAAATACATTATTGATGTTTTTGGCTAATCCAATTACACACTTGTACTTGCTTAAAATCAATCATATCATGATTTTGAAATTTTTACATAATTTATATTTTACTTAATAATCGTTACTAAAAATGTTAAGTAAAATATTCTTACAACTTTTTTTTTGTTTACCTCTAATATACCTTAAAATTTGGTATGATGAATAATATGGGATCCCCATCATACATATTATTTTTTTTGTACAAGATAAACTTTAATAGTTTCACTTTGTGTTTACTTACTGATTAAAATTCTTTAGAACAGCTTTGACGTTTTGATCACTGATGCAATCATTGTCAAGTACGTGAGAATAATCGTACCAATGATTGAAACATCATACTTGTTCTAATAAATAATCTTCCTTACTGTAAAAGCTGTAACTTGTAACAAAATAAGGATAACCTTTACTTCACAGTTAAATATATACCTTGGTCTACAGATACGTGTATATTTATAATTAAATACATTTTGTTTTGTATATGTACATTTTCAATTGTTAATGCTATTTTAACAAGATAAATCTTGCTCAAAATATTTATTATTTTTAAATAACTATAATAAAATTTCAAACAGCACACCCAGTTTAGAAAGACAATTTTTTTTTAAACTCATTTCCTTTCTAATAATTCTTCCTTTTTCAACAACAGTTTTTACGTACAGTATCCTAGCATAACAATTTTGGAGTCCCTTTGCCTGGGGGCACTGGGCAGCAGCTGCATTTGTTTGTTAAAATTAAACTTTTTAAAAATTTGTTACCTTCTCATCCTTGAATGTTTCAGGATTTGATCAGTTATTAAAGTTCATAAGACAACTGATAATTAATCAAATTGTAAACAGTTTTCTAGTTATTCTAGTGTCTATTTTAGACTTTGCACCTTGTGAAAGCAAATATTCTTGAGAAAACTTTCAGGGTTATTAAATAAATATTTCCAATACAGTATTTGAAGTTTTGGAAAACTGAAAATGCTGCCATTCTGTCAAAATTTCACATTACTTTATAAAATTTGACACAATAAAGTGAAAGTCTGGTATTTTTTAGGTATAAAATCATTCAAAAATGAAACAACACATAACCTTTAAGATATTATTGTGAGAGTCTTTTTAATTGTGAAATATCTTTAAAAATATCAGGTAATTATTTCTGTAACTTAGTTATAAGGAATGAGATAAACATAGCAAATTATAGTATCAAAGTAAGTTGTTACATTGAGGGAAAGTTAAGAAAACTGTATAATCTCATATGTTTCAACAATAACTGGGTGAAAATTAACTGTTCAAAAAATATCGGAAAAGTATATTCAAGACAGTGATCAATTTTTTCAGGTTGAGTTCCAAAAATCAAACTCATGTTATGAAATGACACAGAATAATTTACTTTTAAGTTATCAGGCAGCTCTGAACGACCAGCATAGCCTGGATTCATTGTGATGCAAACATAGCAGCTGGGGTTTAAGCTTAATTCTGTTCCTTCAAAGTTGAATTTGTTCACTCCTGCTTGGACTGCACGAATTATACACAAGATCTGTAGAATACAAGAAATCAATATTACATAATTCATATCAAGCTAAACAATATATAGAAATTAGTATTAATTTCTGATCAGAGCAAGCTATATACCTAGATCAAATCTAACAATCAATGTGACAAAAGTATAGTTAATTAAATATTCTTTCCTTACATTCCTACTTATAAAGATTAGAATGCATTGTTTCATCAGTATGACACACTCTTTATTAACAGTATTTCTGAACAAAAAGCTAAACAAATATCTCTTATCATGCTTATTAAGAAATCACAAACAAAAAATCAACTTAAAAATGTAAAACACTATTTAAAGTAAATGCTCCAATTAAAAACTACAGCAAATAAATAGAATTAAAAATTAAATATGTTATGTTAATTGAGTTAATTGCAAGGAAAATCTTCAGTAAATTAGTTATTCATATTGTTTCTAAGATATATTCAATCATTTTCATCACAATATAATTTACTGTACATGTCAGTAACAAAAACGTATAGTCTGATCTTCAGTTTAAATACTTTATAGTGTGAAAAATAAACAGAAATCAGAATTATTTGAATACATATCCCAAAGAAAGACTTCACTTTACTTAATATAATTATCAACAAATTTTAATCAAAGCAAGCTACCTACATATAGATCATCACTAAAAACAACTTCATAAACAGTGAATATCACTAAACACAACAGTGCTTAGTATGTAGGGATGAACTGGGACAAAATGGCTGCTGATACCTATTATACATTGCTCATCATTCTCTCAAATCTCTTTGATAACAATCTAATAGCCTTTTATAAACAACTAACTAGGGATTTCAAAAGTTAATAAAACATTCAGTTTAACCAAAAACTATTGCTAAAGTAGAGAACCGGTGAATAGCTTAACAACCAAATGTCCTACTGATTATTCTGATTCTAGCATCAGAAGGGCTAACTCACCAATGATTGAAGTTGTTGTAATGACTTAAACACAAAAATGTTGCATTTTAACTTGGGGAATGCAGAAGCATTAAAGAGCTTCACTAACAATAACATTTTTCTACACTGAATGTATTTACGATTGGTACTTAACTCCTCTCACTCAAAGCTATCTTTACCTTGATTTGCCATCTAAGCATTGCTAAAGAATTTGTTCACTAAAAGTGCACAAGTCTATTATACCCCCTTATTTTTGTGCCATTGCGGAACATGTGCATATCATGTGACTACCCTCCATCAATCATACTGCACCACCTATACTACCACAAGTAGCTCCCTTTACTATTCTAGCACAATCCTCGCTTTTGAGAATTGGCAGTTACAAACTAAAACACCAGCATATCAATGGAGAGGAAGAGCATAAGTAGAGGTAAATATCTATTGGAAATACATTTTCAGTGTAGGAAAATGTTAACTTCCGAAACGGTACTACCTCCTCTCACCCGAAGCTAGAATCTCACATTGAAAAGGTGGAGATTCTGGTGAAGGCATGACAGTGTTTAAATAAGCATATAACAACCACATGAAAAGAACAGGTGTGCCAGAAGAAGAAAATAAGGCACACCTATGGGGTATAGTGCTATTTCTGGAACAGGTATGCTCCTTGCCCAGTAATGAAACAGTGATATATATATATAGAGTGTGAAATGTATGAGGCAAGCACCATATACTCAAGAAAAAGATGTACAGTATTTAGCTTTGGAGCAGTGAATCAGCATAGAGTGAACATATGAAATGTGTAGCATGTACATGACAACAGGCTCAAAGAATTGCATGCCAAGGGAATAGTCCTAAGGCACACTGGAACAAATCCATTGATGTCTTGTCGAGGATATTGATAGCAACAAGAATAATCACCCACTTACAAAAACAGGTGAAGCATAATAAATAAATAGTGAGACAAAATTTTGTCTGATAATTCAGAATCAGCCTATTGGCAACAGATAGTGCATTATTTGTTCACGTATGTAGTAGGTCATAGTATGTGATATAGGAATAATTAGTCATAGTAAGGTGCCAGATAATGTGGTATAAGCATAAGTGGCTAGGGCTAAAGGACTGTAAACTGTATATGAATAGGCCAAGTGTGGTCCGCCCAGGCAAAAAAACATCCAGGGGAAGCACCTTGGTATATGTTGGATTATGTCAAGTGCAGTCCATCTGGGCAAAAACAACAGTGGAAGCACCTTGCATAAGTTTTTAAGATCACCAAGCATGGTCTGCCTGGGCTATAAACATTCAGGCAAAGTGCCTTGTATATATATATTAGTCCCTCTTGGATACGATCGACCTATCTGCCATGATAAAATAGTTGCATCTGACAAGAAGTCGTTATTCAAAGGATCAATAACCAGATAACAAATGACCGACTTCAAGCTGTGCTAGTTGCTATTCCCAGAGGTTGAGTATAATGGTTTATATGCTGTATTGATAGTCAGATAACATATCAAATTGGAGTAATAGCAGTTATGATGGATAACAGATCAATAAAGATAACTTGTTTTGTTTTGTTTATGTACAATAATTTATTCATCAATCACACACATTTCATAAATATCCATGTATCAAATTTTTATTACACATATATATATAGACTATTACAATCTGACACAAAATTTATTTCATAAAAATCGTCCATCTTTGTTTGTTTAGCACATTTAATGGAGTCACTTTAAATGTTCACAAGTCTGGCAGTTATTATATAAAGTGTTTCATTGTTAGTTTTAAGTGCATGATTTTATTATCAATTTATAAAATGATCTGCAATAAATGTCCAGAATTCTACATCAGAGAAACCGTACGAAAATTGAAAACAAGATTCATCAAACATAATAAAAAAATATCTACAGTATATCTATACAAAGGGTTTGTAATATTAAACAAAGAACCAAACATCGAAAGCTATGTATCTTAACTGAACAAAACAGACCCACCTTAAACCAATATTTCACCTTGAAACTTGGATCCTTTGATCTCAGCTCTGAAAAGGGACCATTCCACAAATTTAAAAGAACCAGTAAAGAAATAAGAATAAATATCTGAAGTAAATTATTACTAGACTCTAGCCAACACCTAATAAGGTAATTCTCTCTAAACACAAATGCAACATAAAATGTAATATGTTGTATTAAAACAATTTCAAGTTGACTAAAAATTCTATAATTTCCATGTTTCGTATAGTTTGTGTCTTTTTTCACAACTTTGGTTTATATCGATGTGCCACATTTCTATATCAACACTTCGAGCCTTATTCTTCACAGCAGCTTCCTGTTCTCAGCTTGAGACATTCAGAGCTTTCCTGGATGCCTTGAGGCATTTTATTAGCCATGATTACTGCACAGATTAGTCAGGTCTGTCACTCAACAAGCTGCAAATTAATTATCTTCACACCCCACTAGTAAATCCTAATCAAGTTACTTAACATCTAGGCCACAAGCTCAACATCTACTACATTCACTAAAAGAATAAACCTTAATTCCGTGAGTGGGGCAAAGGCAAACAACAGTTTCTTACCTCCCCTGGTTGCCTTATAGGATCTGAAAGTTTTTAAACCAAAACAACTTATGTGTATGTAACAAGGAGTTTGACTTAAACACCCCAGGGCACCAAGATACACATACTACGTTGTGAAGCAATCTCCGGTCATGTGACCTCTTTGTTCCATACTTTATACACTGCATTCATGTGCCTCTGTAAATTACATTATTGATATGAAGAAAATTAGTCATAGAAAGGTTATTATTTGACCTTCCACCCCAAAATCAGTCTTATGTCACATCTGTTGAGAAATCATTCATGGGAGGTCAGATCAATGTAAAATCAGAAAAAAGTTGTATTTAAAAAGAATTCATTACTGGGAAGGGTCTTATCCACCAGGGACTACTGTAATATTATGGCCGAGTACAGTCTTCCTGGGCAAAAACATCCAGGGGAAGCCCCTTGGGATTCTGTTGGGTAAGTTGAATGAGGTCCAACCAGGCAGAAACATCCAGTGGAAGTGCCTTGCATAAGCATGTATTTGGTCGTCAAAAAATTAATATCAATTTCTTTAGATGAAAAAAACCCGACAACTTACATATAAAACAAACATTAATTAAATT